AGAAATCCGCCTGCCTCTGCCTCCCAAGTGCTGGGATTACAAGTGTGTGCCACTGCCATCTGGCTCAAAAATATGTATTTTATTGTATTCACTGGAAGTCATTTTCCAGTGAAGTTGATGAACAAAAGATTTGGAAGTGGAGTGGAACACCCTTGAAAATAACTGAGGGTCTGCGTCATTTTAGACAGAATTATGCCCCATGAGAAAGCTAACACTATTTTTTTTCTTCATTTCAGAGTAAAAGACATCCAAAGTGTATATTTGGACACCACATTCTGTGACCCAAGGTTTTATCAAATTCCAAGTCGTGTATGTTTGCCTGGGGTGACGGGTCTGCTGGGGTGATGGTCTATCAGGGGTGACGGGTCTGCTGGGGTGATGGTCTATCAGGGGTGATGGGTCTGCTGGGGTGATGGTCTATCAGGGGTGATGGGTCTGCTGGGGTGGTGAGCTGTGGTGTAGCTCCTGCCTTGTTGGAAGGGTGGGTGTAGGCTAATCCAGCAGTTGTCCCTTTGGGCTTGATTGCCTCTGAATGTGGAAGAGGAAAAAGGGCAGTGAGTTCCTTCAAAGGATCAATTTTCCTTGGCCGTCTAGGAGGAGTGCTTGAGGGGAATTTTGGAGCTGGTTCGCAGCTGGATCACTAGGAGCCCACACCACGTTGTGTGGCTGAACTGTAAAGCAGCTTATGGCTATGAGTATTTGTTTACCAACCTGAGTGAGGAGCTGGGAGTCCAGGTACCTCTCCATTTCCCTGCGCCCCCTTTCTCTGCCTTCCCCTCCCCTGCTCCCTTTCTCTGCCTTCCCCTCCCCTGCTCCCTTTCTCTGCCTTCCCCTCCCCTACCCCCTTTCTCTGCCTTCCCCTCCCCTGCCCCCTTTCTCTGCCTCCCCCTCCCCTACTCCCTCTCCTTTCCTCCCCCAAATAACTGAAGACAGGGAGGGTGGGGGCAGCTTGTCAAACACAGGTGCAGCAGAGGCTGGGCCTCCCAGAAATCACCTCTTCTTCACAGGTGCACATCCTCACAAAAGGACAGTCACCGCTCAAAAAGATTCCCCCGAGGCAAAGTATTTTTTTCCAAAGTGTGGGCTATAAAGTAAATATAGCAATTGTAAAAGTGACTTTGAACCCAGTGGTATCTGGGTGTACTGCTTGCAGTTAAGGTGTTGACAGTGAATCTTGACGTAGGTGGTTGGAAACACACATATACACATGTCTGTATCTGTGTTTTTCCATGACTGTGTGCTGACCAGGTTGTTACGGAAATCGTATTTCCTGCTTCGAGTCATGGTCAACAGCACGTGAAGAACACTGACCTGCATCTAGTCAATGGGTCAGTGTTGGGCTTGCTGGGAGTTTTCACTTGTCCGTTTTAGACGTTCTTTCTCAGTTGTTTGAGGCTGGACCCACAGACTCAGGGCAGAAGAGCTGGAGTGTGTGTGGCGGCTGTTGAGCAAACACCTCCCCCTCCAGGGCATTGAAAAGTGTCTGGGACTTCTGTCCCTAAGAGAAGATGGATTTGAAAGAATCATTGAACAAAACGAAGTATTGGGACCGCATGGACATTTTTAGTTGTGCGTTTTTAAATGTAGATCCACCAGCAGACAAACCTGTGCTCAGAACTTAACAGTGATCCACAGTGTACTTCAGCAATGTTAAAATTCTGTAGTTTTGCTGGGGATCTGGCTCAGTGGCAGAGCACTCACCTTGCATGCACAAGGCCCTGGGTTCTATCCCCAGCACTGGGGAGAGCAAGATCTAGTTTTTCTGTGTTGGAAATTATAAAATTCTAACCTTCACTCTCCCTAAATGTCTGTTCCTCCTTTCCTATTCCTGTCTATTTCTGTAAGTCCTTCTAGCCAAATATTTTAATGTAAAGTCATTAATAGTCCATTTTGAGGAAGATTTGCTTTTTATTTAAAAAAGATTTATTTATCTACTATGTATACAGTGTTCTGTCTGCATGTATCTCTGCCTGCCAGAAGAGGGCACCAGATCTCATTAGAGATGGTTGTGAGCTGCCATGTGGTTGCTGGGAACTGAACTCAGGACCTTTGGAAGAGCAGCTGGTGCTCTCAACTTCTGAACCATCTCTCTAGCCTGAGAAAGATTTGCTTTTATCTGTGATTACTCGTGTGTTTGAGTTAAGATGGCCTTTTACACTAAGATCACAGTAGTGATAATCTTCACACATGTCCACAAACACGCTTATTTGTATTACCTGTCTTTTTAAGTTCTTTTTCTCATTTTGTCTCTATGATATATAAAGGTGACAGTTATTTGCCTCCCCTAAACTTGGGGTGTAATTTCAGGGGTGTGTGAAGAGTGGAAGCCTCTGCTCTGAGCCCTGGGAGAAGAAGCCAGGGGCAGGCAGGTTCAGGGAGAGGCTTTTGATGGTGGCCCCAGAGTTTCCTTAAGTCCCTTTGCCAACCTAGATCAGGAGTTTACAAAGGGAAAATGGTGAGGTTTCCTACCAAGGTGCCTCCGGGATGATCTGCAGCTACCTTTCCAGTCATTTCTATGCGCATTACTTCATACAGTTCACGTTATCCCCTTCCTGTTTTCCTTAGACAGTCTGGAAAGTCATGTTCACTATTACTTACTTCTTCCTTACTTTCTTTTATGTTTTTGGGGAGAATAGGTTGCGTGGCCCAGGTTGGTCTGAAGCTGTAGCCACAATAGCTTCCACCTCATGATCCTCCTGCCTCAGCCTTCTGAGTGCTGCAATAATAGATGTGTCACCATACCTGGCTTACATTTTCTCTGTGTGTCTGTGTCGGTGCAGATGCGTGGGTGTACACAGCACCTATGCATGTAAGTGCATTGTTAGAGGCCCAAGATACTCTGTGTGTGTGTGTGTGTGTGTGTGTGTGTGTGGTGTGTGTGTGTGTGTGTGTGTATGTTTAAAGACAGTCTCTCATTGACCTGGGACTCAGTAGGTAGACTGGCTGGCAAGTGTGCCCCAGGGATCCACCACCTGCCTCACTTTCCGAGTGGGATCACGAGCACAGGCCACCAGAGCAGATTTTTGCATGGGTTCTGGGGATCCAACTTAGTTCCTATGCTTGCAAGGCAACGCTTCCTGGCTGCTCCATCTCTCCAGTCACTTACCTTTCCTTCTGATCGGCCCTAAGTAAATCAGTTGTAACTGAATGGGCCACTCGGGGGAGTAAGCGGTGTGCCTGTGTTCTTTGGTGCCCTGCCTTGGTGGCAGCCGGCACAGCACTTGCACATTATTTCAGCATGTTTGTTAGTCCCGCACCAACATGAGAGTGCTACAATTTTCATTTTGTTTCGTGATCCTAACATCAGTTTAGGCACCGATATCATCTGCTTTGAAAGACCCAGAAGACAAGCTTTGAGTAAAGCCGACATAATTGGTTTTAATACTTTAAACTGTAGATGCATTCATCAGTATGAACCAAGTGATTCTTGAAGGACAGTAATAACACAATCAGATGCAACCTATGAGATGAGTCCTTTGCCTAGAGACATCCTCACAGGATATTACTGAGCACGGCAGTCCAGAACAAGACTGCCAGAGAAAAGATTGATCCACTAACTGGACAGTGTCCCCCTGAATACACCCTGGAAGAGTGTATTCTTAGGACTGCATTTCAAACAGTGTGCTTCTATCCGCTGTTATGCACAGGTTCACGTGGACAAGATGGACATGTTTAGAAACATGCCTAATATCCTCCACCATCTCACCACGGACCGAAACACCCAGATCCATGCCTGCCGCCACCCGAAGGTACTGAGGAAACACCCGCCCTATTGTTTGTGGGACCTGAGAGATTGAGATCAAGAAGGCAGCTCAGAAATTCTTCTTTTGAAGCTTTTCATGGTCCTAAGCTGTTAGCTGGAGGCTGTGCACTTATCCATACCTGTATTCCATGAGCGTGTACTTCATAATGAGTAACAGGCACAGATTCTTAACATGCTTTACAAAAAAATTACTTCTTCTACATGGGAATGAAATTTTTTTTGTAATGAAGTCAGTGATCTGTGCTAGTTGTAATTTAAGCAGATTATTAATTCTTTGAAGAATGCAACAGTCTCTTTTGGTTATATTTATCCCCTACTCCTCCCAGATGCACCCACATCTCCCTACTCATCTACCTGTGTGCGCTGTTATTTTTGTTTGTTTGTTTTAATAACACATAGAGTTCAGTTTGTGCTGCCCATATCTTCCTGGGGGTGGGGCCACCCACTCGAGCACAGTGGAGCTGCCAGAAGCCACACTGTAGCCAGAAGTTTTCCTGTGTTCCGCAGCTGCTTCATCCCCAATAAACACACAGAGGCTGATATTAATTACAAACTGTTTAGTCTATGGCTCAGGCTTATTGCTAACTAGCTCTTAGTCTTAAATTAACACATCTCTATTCATCTATATATTGCCACATATCTTGTGGCTTTACCTGTGTTCCATTACTTCTTGCTCCCCCACCAGCCCAAGCATCTCCACCCTCCCACCCTCCCACCTTCCCACCTCCGACTCCATCTTTCTTCTTCCTGTATCTTTGCTTGGATTTCCCACCTAGCTATAACATGTCTTGCCATAGGCCAAGGCAGCTTCTTTACTAACCAATGGTAGCAAAACGTAATCACAGCATACAGAAAGACCATCCCACTGCACACAGCCTTAAAGAAAACTGACTCTCCCTCTTCTAGAAGCCATCAGCTGTCCATAGCTTCTCAGGAGTTGGGGCTCAGGACACCTTCCCACTCCGTGTTCAAGTGTTGACTGGCTCAGTCTTGTGCAGAGAACCACAGTTGCAGCGAGTTCATGTGCACAGCAGTTCTGCCATGTCTGGAAGACACTGTTTGGTTCCTGTCCCCCACAACCTCTGACTTTACAGTCTTTCTGTACCCACTTCCACGATGATCCCTGAGCTTCAGGGGGTGGGGATGTGATATGGATGTCTCATGTGGCTGAGCACTACTCACACTTATTCTCTGTACTTTGACCAGTTGTGAGGTTCTGTGTTAACCACTGTCCACTGCACAAAGAGACTTCTAATGAGGTCCAAGAGCTGCACTGGTCTATGGCTAGAGATGCTAATATGGAGGCCAGTTCGATACTATGTCCAGCGTATAATTTAAGCGAATATGTTCATAGTGTGTTGCTATTTGTTTCTAAGATTCAAAAACGTGTGTATGCTTGTAAACTCTATTTTTCCTTTACTCACTTAAAATAAATGTCTAGACATAACCACCTTCCAGCTCGGAAGGAGTTACCATAGTGGTGTAAGCCCACGGAAGAACCTCCAATTGTCTTTGCTGTTCACTGGCAATTTTTCTTTGTAATTCTACTGTGGACTCTTAAGTTACCAAATGCCAGGCTGCTGCTTTGAATTTGCCTTTGACATTTTTTTCCTTTGATAATGTCTTTTTTATCCAACATTTTCCTACATGTATACAATATTTTTGTTTGTTTGTTTCTATTTTTTTTTTTCAAGACAGGGTTTTTCTGTTTAGTCCTTGATGTCCTAGAACTCACTTTGTAGACCAGGCTGGCCTCAAACTCAGAGATCCACCTGCCTCTGCCTCTTGAGTGCTGGGATTAAAGGTGTGTGCCACCATCACCCTACAATGTATTTTTAGTTACATTTACTCTTGAATATCCTCTGTTCCTCTCCTACTCCCGATTTCCATTCTCTTCCCAGCTAGTGTCTTTGACATTTAATTAAGACAATTGAATTATTTACCTTCAAATACAATTGTGTGCCTGATCACAGTTTTTCCCTAAAATGTGAACTGTCTCAGCGTAGAACCCTCAGCAGTATGCGTCTATATATGGAGAACACTTGTAGAACATAGTCGCATGGCTCCATGTGACCAAACCCTTAAGAGCAATACATGAAAGTGCATTTTCTCATCAATGACATGTGATGTTCTGATCTCTTAGCCTGTGTAAGAGAGCAGCTCATCAGAAGGGCTGGGGAGATGGCTCTGTGCTCAGAGCTCTTGTTGCTCCTTCAGAGGACCTGAGTTTGGTTCCCAGCTCACAGCTGCCTGTAAGTCCAACTCCAGGGATTTGGATTTACACATATATGTATACACACACACACACACACACACACACACACACACACACACACACACAGAGAGAGAGAGAGAGTTTTTTTCAATGAGAGCTGCACATTAGAAACTATTCCTGGTGATAGATAGGCTACATATTCTAACTTGCATGCATTTATTTAATCATTTGTAGCCACACATCTAGTGACTCTTGGGTGGCTAAAAGAACGTAGATAATAAACCAGGAGGTCTCACATTGTGGGTTGATTCGGGCTATTGTAGCATAGGCCAGGCTCAAACTTGGGATCCTCCTGCTTCTGTTTCCCAAGTCGTCATGTGCCACCTTACCCAGCCCAAAGATGGTTTTGATTTTCTTTATTGAATGCTTCACTGTAGACAGGGCCGGGCTGCTGTAGTCCAGGCTGGGCTCAAACTCATGATCTTCCAGCCATGTGCCACCTCACTAAGCCTGAGAGTTCTCTTGACACAAACCTGTTCTCAAGCACTTTGCTTCTCTGTCCTCATATTGAGGATATTGAAGCACCCAGGCCAGGCATTCTGTCGACTGTTTTTCAGTTTGGAATAGCCTGCTTCCTTCCCTGTCTTCATTTCTTTCGTGTCCAGAAACTCACCTGCGATTGCTTTTGAACACTAGTCTACAGGCAGCTTTGTTGAGGATACAGAACTAGAATCGAAAACAAACGTGTTTTTTGGTTTGTTTGTTTTGTTTTCAGGCAGAAGAGTATTTTCAATGGAATAAATTACCCTGTGGGATTACTTCCCAAAATAAAACTGTGCTCCACACAATCAGCATCAAGCCATCCACCATGTGGTTCGGAGAGAGAACCAGAAAAACAAACGTGATAGTGAGGTAAGAGATTGGTGCCCCGGGTCTTCAGAAACCCGGAGGTGAAATGCTGAGTTTAATGTGGTTTAAACTGAGATTAGCATGAGCCTAAGGAGAGGATGTTATCATTGTGGAAACTATCCTTTTCATTTAAATATTACTTAAAATGAAGGGGTGTTTCTCCCAAACTATGACAAGACATTAGCTGGTATATCCAGGGACTTCCTCTGTGAGTGGCAAGATGGCTGGACTCGGAGGCATCTGAGGGCTTTGCCGTGTATCCCAGACTGGTATTGGAAAGAATGGAAGCACCTGGGGCAGTAGAGCGTCTCCACAATGACCCTCATACCTTAGCAACACTCCTTGATTTGGGCTATTTAGAATGTCTGAAAAAGTTGACTCCTGTCCTAAGAAGCAATTCCTCACAGCCACGCGGCTTCCCACCCAAACAGCCTAAGTGGAAATTCAACCCTGTGACACACTAAGTCTTGCTAAGTGTCTTTTGTGTTCTGCTTCCCCCTTAGGACGGGAGAGAGCTCATACAGAGCTTGTTTTTCTTTTCACTCTTCCTACAGTGAGGTAAGAGGATCTGTCAGCTCTCTCATCGCTGTCTGCAGCCTTTGCGGTTGATCACCATGGGGCAGGGTACATGTGTGTGGGGTGTACATATACCTGTGCACATGTGGGGGAAGGGATGAGTGGAGGACAGAAGACAGCTTCAGGTATCATCCGCAGGAAGGCCATCACACTCATCTACATCAAGACCTCTCATTGGCTTGGAGTTCAACAATTAGGCTAGGTTGTCTGCCCAGTCACAGGGATCCTCCTATGTGCCTCCCCAGCACTGGGATGCAAGTGTGTGCCACTATACCCAACATTTTCACATGGTTCTGGACATCAAACTCAGTTCCTTATACTTGCAAGGCAGGCACTTTAGGGGCAAGTGATGGTTTTTGTGTGCATGCCTCCCTAAAGGTATAAAGAAGTTGTCTGTGAAAAGTGCCCGAAGAGTAGATGTTCTTTAGGTTAGAGTGGCCATTTTCATGATTACTGGAAATCCCCGAGGCTCTGTGTCCTTCCTCACTTGATCCTTTGAGTGAGAGTTAGATGCTGATGGCTTTGTGTCCTTGTCACCCGTGTTGCAGAGGGGATCCAAGCCTTTGCATTGTCATTACCGACTCTGTCCTGCATAATGGCAGTGGATGTTTCACCAGGTACCAGGTACTGGCCAGTGGGTCCCAGAGCTAGCATTTTACAGGTGTTGTCTTGTTTATATTGTAAATGAAGAATCTGAGCCTTAGACTTACTGAGATCACAGCTTTCCAAGATCTAATAAGTGAGATTTGCCTAGGTTGTAGAACTCTTAAGAGGAATTGTGACAGAATTCTTCTGTTTAGCATTCTGAACATGGTTAAAAAAAAAAAAAATCAACATACTTGTGAAGGCTTTAAATTATGATTGTTTAGAATTGTTAGGAAAGGAATTTGTATGTGTAGTCTTTCAAGTCACACACACACACACACACACACACACATACACACACACACACAAAGTATCTTGGGCCTAGAACATTTCCTCCCGGTTTTGTGTCCCAGTCAGAGTACCCACAGCCTGCACCAACTAGCAGCTTTGCTCGGGAAGGCCCTCCTGTTTGAGCCTTGCGTGCTCCTTGTCCGCATCCACCTATGTGGGAACAGCTTTCAGACACCTTAGCATCCAGTGTTTCAGACTTTATGGTAAGGGGCTCTTTCTCTGGGAGTAGAGAAATGTACACAGAGGTAGGATGTCCTTAGTTGGCTGCTAGGAGAGACCTGCAGGCAGGCCTTGGGCCGCCAGTGGTCACTACTGGACCCGATCTTGCCCTGAACTCCTTAAGTAAAGAGCTCTTGTATCCAGGATTGACTGCACTGCTTACATCAGTGACTGCAACCTAAGATGTAAGAAGAGAGTTTTGAGTCTTCCTAGGGTAGTAACCACCGGGTGCTATTCGACTCCACAAGAATAGGCATTAGAACAAACCAAGTCATCTCCAAGATGCAGTTGCCCTGGTAATGAATTATTTAGATATCTAGACGTGGAAAGTGGTGTAGTTACAAGACTTTGTTTTCTTGTGTCTATTATGGTTCATACTCAGCTGTATTCTAACTCACATGGAAGAGGGTTTGCCAAATGTAGGCAACTGGTCTTGGACAAAGAAATGGATGTCCTGCCAGGCGGTGGTGCACGCCTTTAACCCAAGCACTCGGGAAGCAAAGCCAGGCAGATCTCTGTGAGTTCGAGGCCCACCTGGTCTACAGAGTGAGATCCAGGACAGGAACCAAAGCTACATGGAGAAACTCTGTCTCAAAAAACCAAAACCAAAACAAAAAAAACAAAACAAAACAAAACAAAAAAACAAAAAAAAAAAAGAAAGAAGAAAGAAATGGATATCCTATTGTAAAAAGACAATCTTTAGATCCCATTATTCAGGAACTCAAGTTCTTTCTGTGGAGCAGAAACTGAACAAAGTTCAAATGTGCGAGTCCCAGAGCTCTCTTCACCCAGTGCAGGAGGGTCTGTGGGATGAGGCCAAGGCACTACATGTGTCTTTGGCTTGACAGATCCCTGGTGGTCCCCACATGCAGCCAGCACTGAAGCAGGATCATCATAAGGAAGCTCCTTTGCCCTTTCCCATATTTCTATCTTTTCTGACACCCTCATTTTTTCTTTTATTAATGAATATTTTAGTTAATATACAAAATAATGAATCTTGTGATGACATTTTCATACAAATATATCTTCATACTTGGTTCACATTTGCCCACCATTCCCCTCTCTCATCCCTCCTCCCCCTAACTGGTCCCTTTCCTCTCCCAAAAAGCCCCCCCCCATCCTTTTTCATTATAGATTGTTAAATATAGTTGCCACAAATGAGAGAAAACAGACTAGACTATCTTTTTCTCTCCTGATCCCCACCCCGCCCCCCAGTTCCTGCTGTTCTGTCACGTGTCTGCACATGTATCATGTATGTGTGAATCTATAGAGGCTCCACACATGATACAAAATGGGCTATTTGCCTGAGTTTGGCTTGTTTTGCCTAACACAATGATCTCTAATTTTATCAATTTTCCTGCAAGTGACATAGATTGTTCCTTATGGCTGGATAAAACTCCATTGTGTCTGTATGTCACCGCTTTATTTATTCACCCGTGGAGAGGCATCTAGACTGGTTCTATGTATTAGGAACTGTGAATGGACTAACACCTCAATTTCCCATCACAGAGATAGTTTATGCACTTTATATTCCTTTTAGATTAAAGATTTTTTGAGCTACATCTGTCCAGCAAATGCATATCCAAATGTCATTCCAGTAGGCCTCACCGTGGATAAGGTCATGGACGTGTGAGTAATTTCTGTTTGGGGGCTTCTATTGCTATTGGTAGTTCTGGCTGGGAGGCATGGGAGTGCTGTGCTTGAAAACTTACAGATCGAGAACCCATTTCTATTGTAACATTTAAAAAAATTTTTTAAAAGACTTTATTTATTATGTATAAGTGTTCTGTGTGTATGCTTGCACACCAGAAGAGGGCACCAGATCTCATTATAGATGGTTGTGAGCCACCATGTGGTTGCTGGGAATTGAACTCAGGACCTCTGGAAGAACAATCAGTGCTCTTAATCTCTGAGCCATCTTTCCAGCCCATAACATTTTTTTTTGAGCTTCCCCTCTATTTCCATTTCTTCTGGCATTTCTAGTGAGCAGAATGTACAAGTAATATCAGTTTGTCCTAAGTGGAACAAAGTTCACCAATTGCTTACAATGTGCATTTGACCAGATTGCTTCTGAACTAATCATAACTAACCAGCAAATCAACAAATTAGGAATATGTTGTGGGATATTCAATAACACTGTGAACCCCATGTTTGCATTAATTAAATAAAATCAACCTTGGTCAGGAGGCCGAGTTAACAACTAATTGACAGACAGTAATCATAAAGAATAATAGGGTGTCTGTAAGAAGATAGAGAGATGCACAGGAAGTAGTGGGGGGACTTACTGTAGCTGGGTTTATTTGGAGGAGCAGAAGGAAGTTCTTTTGGAGATGCAGGTAAAGAGAGAAGGTCAGCTAGCTGCTACTCAACCTCTCTGAGCTAGCAGGTTTTCACCCCAGCCTTTGACTACCAAGTCTTATTGGTAAATAGAAGGATAGAGAGTTAATTAAAAGCTATATTTGGCAGCAGCTACATAGTCAGTACCGACAGGAACAGAATTCCCGCCAGGCCGTGGCCTGAGCGGCCAGGCCACTGCCAGAGAAGTGCGGAGTCATACTTGTTGGCTAAAACAGCAGCCTCTGTGCCAATGGAAAAACTACAGGAATGTTCATTCATGCCTACATGTTGGGGTTCTCAGGGATCTAGAGAGAATAGAGAGCTATGAAAAGCACTTGACAAAGAGCCAATAGGCATCAGTCGGTGTCTATGGAATGAGTGAGTGAACCTCGAGAGCAAGGCAGTGCAATAGTTGTCATTTACTATTACCACTTTTTGTTTTTCAAGACAGGGTTTCTCTGTGTAACAGCCCTGGCAACTTACTCTGTAGACCAGGCTGGCCTCAGACTCTCAGAGATCTGCCTGCCCCTGCCTCCCAAGTGCTGGGACTAAAGGTGTGCATCACCACTGCCCAGCTTTGTCTTTTATTTTTTAAATTGCATTAATTTTTGTGGGCGCATGCACGTGTATGTGAGTTACTGTTATTGTTGATGTATGTCATCAAGGTCAGAGGACACCTTGTACAAAAAGTTCTCTTTCAACAGGTGGGGCCAGGGGACTGAACTCATGTCCTCAAGGCTTAGTAGCAGTTGCCTTTACCAACTAAGCCATCTTGCCATCTCGCCATCTCATTAAGCAGCTCAGGCTGGCCTGAAATTTGTGATCCTCTTGCCTCTACCTCTCACGTGCTGTCATTACTGACAAGTGCTTCCACTCCTGGCATAATGTCTTTAAGTCCATTCATTTTTTTTTTTTTTTTCCTGTTTTTTCAAGACAGGATTCCTCTGTGTAACAGTCCTGGCTATGTCCTGGAACTCGCTTTTTAGATCAGGCTGGCCTCGAGCTCACAGAGATTCACCTGGCTCTGTTGCTGGAGGGCTTCTCTCCAGG